GGACTCTGACTCCTCCTTTACCCGGTCTGCATGGGATCAGAAAACCTGCTCAGTGGTCATTCCTGACCTTACAATATGCAATGCACAATTAAGGAGGAGATGCCATCTGAAAGAGTATCAAAAGTATCAACTATTAGAAACGAGTATACGACAGTATGGTAACGAATTTTACAGGGTAAGTTATACAACTTTTAATATTAAGAGATATTGAAGAGGACTTGTGTAGGGTAAACGATTTTCAGGCTTTTCTGCCCTCCTGGCCATTAGGAGTGCATGCCTGATGGCGGGCACCTGCATTTTGTTACATTGTTATATTGGGTTGTATTGTTTACTCCTGTTGGCCATGGCTGCAGTATTTATATTCGCCAAGAGAAGCAGAGGCAAGAGAAAAAGAGCCAGAATGCCAGAGAGCCCAGTAAAGAGTGAAGAGTGCCCTGGGGCTGAGAGGCCTACCACCCTCCTGGCACACCCTCCTCCCACCCCACCCCCTGCCACCTGCCATGTACCTGGTTGCTGCACTACCTGCTTAAAAAAAAAAAAAAAAAAAACCCTGAAAAAGCCACCGAGGGCTCCAGGACTCTCCTTTACCCATCTGCTCTGATCATAGAAAACCTGCTCTGTGCCCTTCCTTCCTGGCACTACAACTTGACTCAATGAATGGAATTTATGCACATACAACACACTAAAGGCAGAAGCTCTCCCCAGTTTGATCTAAAGAGTCAACATAATTAAAATCATTTTCTCCAGGGACATTTCAAAGGTAATATCAAACATTACCCAGAGAAGAAAATGGCTGTGAACACTGGGATCTCTGGGAGAAGAGCAGGGAGGACGTGCTCTGTGATGGAACAGGTGGAGCGTGAAGGAGGAGAACTTGGCTGTTGTCCTGCAGTGGCAGAGCAGACACTTCGCCACAAACCAATGAGGAGCTCAAAGGCAGAAAGGAGTGAATGGACCCTCTGAGAGAGATGACGTAGTATCAGTGGAGCAAGGATTTGTTGAAACCTGCTTATCCACACAGAAAAAGGCAAATTTGTATGTCCATAAAGTACATCATAGAAAAATCAAATCCAGTTGGATTAAGTATTTAAATGTCATAAACAGAAACTTGAAACTTTTAGTATGACATATAAGCAAATAATTTTTTAAACTTAGTTTAAAAAGCAATTTATTGGGCAATTAAAAATCTGTAATTGGGGCCTCCCCTGGTGGTGCAGGCAGTTGAGCGCAGCGCTATGAAGCTGTCTGCAGCCTCTGCAGTGCCGGTTCGATCCCGGCTGGCTGGCGAGGGTCCCACATGGCATGGCAGACCTCCCCTGTCTCGCCCGCTGCTCCCCTCAGCAGTGAATTTCGTCAGTCTGCCTGTTCTGTTCCCTACTCTGTCTCTGGTGAATCCTCTCACCTTCCCACACATCTGGCCTGTACCCCAGTTCTTGTATAAAATAAATAAAATAAATCTTTTTAAAAAAATCTGTAATTGTAAAGGAAAAGATAACTTTGACTATGCTGACATTAAAGATGTTGCACATTTTCCATTTAAAAAGTGGAAAGGTAATTTGTAAGTTGGGAGATAATTTCCAACATACAAAATTTATAAAACATCATTATTGAATGGAGCCATATAAAATATGGGCATATAAAAAATGCACATATAGAGTGAATATTCATTTGTTCTATAATCCAGAAATTCAACATCTGGGGTATTAAGCAAGAAAAATTGTATAACATCAGAATAGGAGATATGCATAAGGCCATTCATATGCTCATGATCAGAAAAACCTGGAAACAACCAAATTGCCATCCATAGGGAACTGGATGAATACATGGCAATGGATCAGACATGGGCTAGATGAGCAGCCTCAACTAATGAACCACCACACTCTGAAGGATAGCCACTGATGCAATAAAATGAAATAAAAAGGAGAAGAGAAATGATGGAGCCAGATTCCAGGAGATGGTTCGAGGGTGAAGGGGGGCAGGGCGTGGGTCAATGGTGGGTGGAGTACAGGTCTGTCAGCTATAGTCAAGGTCCCAGATTTTGTTCTGGAAGGTGTGCATGCAGGTGGGTATTATGTCTTTACAAGTAACTATGAAAAAACTAAATAGCAGATGGCCACAGACAGAATGTTGAGCCTCTGAGTACTGTCCAAGTGACAACTTATCCCAAAACTTAGTGACACAATTTTTGGATCCCTGTGGCCAGGAGTCCCAACAGTCTAAAGCAGGAAGTTCTGTCCCCTGCTCCTCGATATTGCAGGTTTCATCTGGAAGACTTGGACACCTGAGAGCAGGACTGTGCCGACCCGTGGGATTTGGAGGCACAAAAAGAGAAGGCCTGAGGATTGAACTGAGGGGCTTGAGACAACTTGATGCTAGCGTTTGCTTCTTTATTGTTCCTTTACCTTTCTTTTACTTTGCCCTGTCTTTCTTACTTCCCTGACCTTCTCTCTGCTCCCCTCACAGCACTCTCCTCTCTCATGGTTCTCCTCTTAAATCTCTTTTCTTCCCCCCTCTCTCCCACGTCCTCCTCTTATATCCTCGTAGCTCCTCCCCCCCCCCCTTAGCTCCCAGTCTCACGTGATCTACAGGAAAATGCAGGGGTTTCTCTGAAGGCGAAACAGTAAATCGAAACCTAACTCATCGAGCACATGTGCAACATGGCGCATGCTCCAGACGGCTCCGGACACAGGACAGCCTGGCCTTCTGCCCCACCATCCTTGTGGTGCAGCAGAGTGCTGGTCTTCATGTCCACTCTAGGCTCATGAGGAGCATCAGCAAGCAGGGGCCAGACAGGAGGCTGCATACTTACGTGTTTCCCTATAGCAGGCAACTATAAGATGTGCTTGGCATCAAGGTGAGTGAAAAAAGTCCCACCCTCCCCAATGGGGAGGGGCAGGAAAAAATTCCCACATCACATTGTAAGAAGAAGCCAAGGTATGGGGTCAAAAGCATGTGGCCATTTTGGAAAATTAGACCCTTCACAGTCATGCACCAAGACTCACGATCAAGCCAGTTCTGTGTACCTGATGTCCAACATGCAGCAATGAAACAATCAGGAAGAGAATTTAACTATGGACAGTGAAGTCACTTCATTTTTTTTAAAAAAGTGAAAGAAAAATTCTATCATCAAAAAACAAAGATACAGTAGGGCCTCCCCTGGTGGCACAGCAGTTGAGCGCTGGGCTGCGAGGCTGCCTGCAGCCTCTGCAGGGCCAGTTCGTTCCCCGGCCATCGGCAAGGGTCCCACAAAAAAAAAAAAAAAAAAAAAAAAAGATACAGTAGTGGGGAGGCTGCTAGACATGTGGGAGGAGGAAGGAAAAAAATGGAGTAAGATCATTAGGAAAACACACTTAATTATGCATATTAAGATTGTACCTTATCTTTTAAAGAATGTGAAATATAGCATCTGAAGCAACAGGATAAACTTTCATCTAATTAAGAGTTGGAAGGGAGATGAAAGAAAATAAATGGAATGGCCAAAATGGAACACAACATGGATGGCAGGAATGATTCAAGTGTAACAGAGATCGCAGCAGATACAAGTACATCAGGCCCCTCTCCAGAGAGTTTCATGGAAAACTTTCAACATTGCAGCTACCAGAGGACACCCAGGAGATGGAATTGATTTGGTGGCGTGTGCTGCGTTTCTCCTGATGTCATTCCTAGCCCTCTTTGGGCTAGGCTTGGGGGGATGGGGGCACAGGCCAGAGGGTTCCACATACTCAAGGCCAGTGCATGGGCATCGATAGCCCAAGTAGGGGCCCTGGCAGAGGTGAATATGGGAGAAGCACCTGGGCTCTGGTATCTTCACCTGTAGCCCCTGGAGATGATGGCTCAGTGCCAGTGTCGGAAAGACTGGATTCTCTTTCTCTTAGGAAGGTGGCAGGCATTTCTCGCGCCTTGCTTTGTGACAGACCGCGTTGCTGGCAGCATCAGTTCCCGCTGCCACCAAAAGCCCATAAGCAAAGACAGGAATTGAATCTATAAGCACTTTTATTTTTCAGATTGCTTGCTACTGATCTGAGAGAATGGTGGGCATAGCACCCAGAGGAGACCGTTCTGTCTTCTTGCACTGGCCTTCTCATGCATTAAACAAAGACAGCCAGAGCAAACAGCCCATTGCCACTGATGTTTCTGATATCTGTTACTTTTAGACCCCAGGACTCATTATTAGCCTTCTGATTATCTTTACCCTGGTACATCAATGGCATCAATGTCTAGCATGCATTCAGGTATTATCAGTGCAGGAATCTCAGTTTAAAGCAAGAGTTTTAGTTTAAAGAAAGCAAATCATTAGTCATACAATGTGTATGTGCAGCCTGTTCTATGTGCGTATGAGCAGATTCCTATATTAGGTTTGGTGTCTTTTGCTTTCTCCCTAACCTTCTATCATCACTAAATTTTCCTTTTCAGTACTGATCCTCTTGTGCATGAATCTCTAATAAAGCCTTGCCTGTTTCAAGTGTACCTAGCGCTCTCTGGTGAATTCTTTCTCTAGAGGGCAAAGAGCCACTCTTGGTTCTGGGACATTAACAAGATCACAAATTGAGACTACTTCCTGGGCTTCCAGTTTGAATCATCACTTTGATTACCTAATAAATTCTTTGTCTAACTATCACTGATATTTTTATTCCAATCAACGTGCCCCAGACCCACTAAATTAGAATCTGTGTTAATCATGTGCCCATGTGACTAGTGGAAATGACAATCCCATAGGTGCCTAACACACTTGATGTCTAAGGCTTGTTTAGTGTCTGAACACCACTTACTGTAAAGCGGCATTTACGAGGCAATTAGAAATATTTTAATTTGACCTAACAGTTGTTAAAAATAGAAAGAAAAGGGAAAAAAGTCTCAAGATGGAGTTCATGTAGGGTCCTCCAGATTTACTACCTAGTGCAGTTTTAACCTCTCCCAAAAGTATAATTCTAAATCAATCTACTATTTTCTATTCAGCATCGAGATATTCTACATACTAAGATAGTCCTCCCCACCCTGTCCCTCCTTCCCCTGAGAGAAAGTAGCTTTACCTGAATTAACCTTTTGCTAAATACCTCTTGGTACTTTATTTCTATAAATACCCTTCATTTTGTGTAAACTGTTTTGGAATCTAGAATCAATTGATAATGTCAATAAGATCTCTAAATATGTAAATTGTTTTTTAATAAGATGAAACAAAAGTGGTAATAGTACTGTGTTTATAGTCCGAAGGCCCTGTTTTTTAGACATGCATTCTGAAAATAGAGCACCACCACTGGTAAGTATTCATGGCCTTTGTTTTTTTCCTATCTATAGAACAAAATACCCCAGACCTTTCCTCCAGGGCACATGGTAAAGCTGTACTTTCCACTGGTTAGAAGTTAGGCCAGGTGACCTGCTTTGGCCAATAAAAGGTAAGTGAAGTGACAAGTCTTAGGAACCCCATATGCGGTTGCCTCATCCTCTCTTTCTGCTTGTTCTCATACTTCACTGAGCACCAGAATCATCTGGAGGTCTTGCAGAACAAATGCCGGGTGTCAACTCCAGACTTTGTGAACCAGTACTTCTGCGGTGAGTAATGCCTGAGAGTGTGCATTCATAGTAAGTTCTGGGTGATCGTTATGTTGCTGGTCTAGAGAATACATTTTAGGAAACAGGGTTCTAGAAAAATTCTCTCTGGGATAGTATCTCTTAGTAATACGTTCTATTTAGCCATGTTTAAGATGAAGAGTGGGTGAAAAACATTTCATTTGCTTCACATTACTGTAGGATTTTTATGTCTATAACTGAAAAAGCATGCCTTACAAAGAAGCAATTAAAATTCTTAGAACCCACAAGTCCTCAAGAAAAGAGTGACTGGTTCAGCTTTGGCTGAATTTCAGGCAAACAAATCCTCATGGGATTTGTGATGCCAAACTACAGAGGGACCCTCAGGTATGTCCTCAGGCACATCTCTCTTCTCCTTCCCCAACAACAGCCTGGGTTCCTTTTCTACCTGGAATAGCTACTTCCAAGAAATTCAAGAATTGCCTGGGAAGGCAACCCTTTTACCCTGTGCCCTCCATGGAACCTGACAACTCTTTTACCCTGTGCCCTCCATGGGCCTTCACTGCATCTGGTTTCCTATCGTTTGAGAGGAATGCCCACAAAATGGAGAGGTTACATGTTCCCTGTCCCACCTAATGAAAGATAGGGCTGAGTGAGCAGGGGAAGTTAAAGACGACTTGGAGAAGAGGAATTGGAGGGACAGGAGGGAGACATGTGAAGAAAGGAGCACTCATTTTTGGGCTTTAGACTTGCACTAGGAACTTGGGAGACATGGATGTAGACAGAGACAATTGGACGATGTGGGTAATACAAGGGGAGGCTGAAAATGGCAGCCAATATCTTGATTTGTACTTTAAATTTACTCCTTTTGCCCCAGACTTGCACGGCCCATTTCTTTCCCTTCCTATAGTTCCTCTCCAGAGGGTGCCTTAGACTTGTGGTAAATGGCCAGATTTCAGTGGCCCCACTTTGGGCTAGCCCTGTTTGGCTGGGCATTAGCTACAAGGGGGTAGGTAACTTTGGGTGTTTTATTGGAAAACTATTACCACCCTTTCTTCATGATGCACACCAATCCTATTAAAGTTCTTTCACACAAAGAATACAATTTATCTTTATGTGACAGATAGCAAAGAATCCTAGGTTGGAGGTCCAGGGTAATAACCCTCAATCTGCACACTATTACTAGATATCAAATACTATTGAAGCCAACAGAGGGTGGAGTATGTCTGAAAAGATTTGCCAATGGTTTCCCCATGAAAGAAGCCATCAATCTCTGTCCAGGCAGAAGGCTGCAGAATGTCCTAGGAAGGCCCCAAAATTAGGAATGCTGAGGCAGGTCAAGACATGGAGGGCCAAAAATCTACCTGTGCTCAGTCAGTGAGCACAGGCACTTCTGACCAATATTTCTGGTTCTGGCTCAGTCATCTAGGTTTTTTTTCTTCTTCTTCTTTCTCTTATCTCTGACCTTCAGCTCAGTACATGTATCTTCAGGTCTCTCTTCCTTTGCAGCTCCATTTCTGTCACTTTCAATTCTAGTGGTTTTTCTTGAAACCTGTATTTGAAACTTGAAAACTGTATTTCATCCCCCTTCCAGATCAGTTTGCCTGTCTTCCCAATTCTCCCTTTTTTTGATGGTTACCTTCTCTCTGGATATTTTCAAAACACATTTCTTAAAAAACTAACTCAATTCAGGAAGAAAAAAAAAGTATATCCAAGGTCATTAGCTCACCTGAAGGCTCCTTTCCGTCATTATTGACAGGTCTCTTCCACTTAGCAGTCTGCTAAATGCAACTATTTAAGGGACAAAAGAGGGGTGTGTGATCTGAGGTCTTGGAAATCCTACCCAAAGTGTATGGGGTGAGGGATAGTGTGAGTGAAAAATCAGCTGGAGGAATGCCAAATGTATGGAAGCAGGGGCTGTACACTCCCCACCTGGGGTACAGAGGAATGGCACTGTGGAGGAAGAGAGATGAAGATACTTTCTCCTTTGCAAGGAGATGTTATTGCAGTAGCCACATTGAGGTTAAAAGAAAGTGATGTTATGTGAGGGCTTCATTCTCTCCTAAATAGCAGCAACCTGTGTCAGCACCACTCCAAGAACCTCCCATCAGTAATTCCTCCATGCCAGCTGCTCTCATAATTCCTTCCATCCTCTCTCTCCCCAACCTCTGTAAGATTTCCTGCCTTGCCTCTGGAGGAGACACTAGAACAATTTAAATGTCCTGCTATGTGGCGTGAAGCAGGCCCTCCATTTTGGTGTTGGCCACAGAAATCTTAAGGAGGGAGGAAAAGGGACAGGGCGTGAGCTCAAAGAGCATGTGAGATGAAACAGCAGCTGAGGGAGTTGTTTATCTTCTGCTAAATTCCATGACTGGTCTCCATTGTATTCTCTATCAAAATGTTTCTCTATCCTAAATAGTGAAAACACAAATTTTGACACCCTCCCCACTCCATTCAATAAGTCAGCTGGTTTATCCCCAGTGTGGTGAATGCCACCTGGCTGCCATGGGGAAGAATATCCCCAATTTCCTTGACCACAGTGGCTGGTTATCACCTCACATTCAAGCAATACTCCCTGCCTCTGGTCTGGGCCCTAACCAATTCTGGAGTGGATTTCTCAGGCTCTGACCCCAGACACTATCTGCAAATACATCCACCACCTCACATTGTCCATCAAAGCACCTCTCACAGACCCCAACTCCTCCACTGAATCACCTTAGTGCTTTAGATAACTAGATAACCTTAAATACCACTGAGAGCTTATCTACCTAGACCAGAACCCATCCTTGCAGGCTGGAACACCAGGTCCAGAAGAACTGAGTGACATGCCGAAGGGCACATGGCCCCTATGGCACAGGCAAGTCAAGGACAGCCCTCTTGTAAGATGTTCAGCGCTTTTCAGCCCTGGGTTACAGCTGTCCCATTCATATTCAAGTGGCCCAGGATAGACCATATATGACAAATGGCAATTCTGAGACAGCCAAGGGAAAAAAACAAACAAACATTGAGCTAATAGGATGAGTTGCCCCAAGTCCTGTTTGAGCAAGTGGACTAAAACTTGGAGGAACTAGTCCTGGCCCACCCCACTGACCATCAGGGGCCACAATAGGTTAAGTATTAGATTCTGACCAACAGTGACCTTGCAATTTCCTGGAGGTAGGAGGCTGAGAGGACACATGGGCAGCTGGAATGTAACCCATCTGCAGATTCCTGGGTAGCCCATCCCAGAACAAGCCATGTTGCTGCCCTCCTCCTCCTGCCTCTTTAAATCTCTCCTAACTCCCAAAGAGCCAGGCTTTATCTCCTTTCCCAATACTCATGCATGAGTCTCTCTAATAAAGCATTGCCTGGTTCAACTACAACTAGGGCTCTCTGATGAAGTCTTTCCTTAGTGGGCAACAGACCCCCCTCTTTGGGGTTGATGCCCTGTAACAATGCCACATATTGTCTACTGTACTATGTTAAGAGTTGAGTGAGACAGAGTAAGGGCTAAAACCAGGGGTGACGCTGGTTTAGTCCAACAGTAAGAGCCTTGAGGAACTTCAGTGGGGTGCATTTATTCAGGCCTGGGTGGGGAGATGAGAAACACATAAAGATGTTTAGTCAAAAAGTCCACAAGAGGCAGGCAGAAGACTGGTGGGTTGATAAGGGTGAAATCTGTGCCAAGAATGGCACAAATATAAGCAAGTCATTGGGCAGATGTTTATGGAGAACACCTTAAGCCAGGCCCAAGCCAGGCCCCGAGTACACCAAGATGAGACATAGGCCCTGGCAGGAGCTCGGACTTCAGAAGAGTGACGCATGGGGTAAGACCACCAGAGTGGAGAAGGGGGGCTTCCAGTCTGTGGCCAGGGGTAGGGGGGCCTATTTCAGAGCTTCAGAGAATGGTTCCCTGCTCAAAGCCTCCTATTCTTCCCTAAGCTTCCAGTAACTTCTTTGACCAGTCATGTTTTTTACTGCCCTGAATCACCCGCTACCTATTTGTACTGTTCTTTACTTGGATACCCCACCCACGGTTTATCACACTTTCTGGTGTTCCTAACAACGCATGCCAGTGTTTGTACTCTGAAAGACCCTGGTGCAAACTACTATGTAAACTACACACATCCATTTTCCAGCCAGTGAAATGGTCCCTTGGTTCCCTACGTTCAGAGAAAGTAGTGTGGTAGCCTGGGGTTCAGGAATGGTGAAGGGGGAAAGCCAAAGGAATATCCCAAGAGAATATGCAAGGACGTTAAGGAGTGGTAGAGGACACTACAGATGATCAGAAAGGTGAATTCTGAGTACAGACACAAGCAGTGGACACTGCTTGTGGAGATCATTATATGATCTCCAGTGACAGGCATTGTCCACACACCTGGTCTAGCATATTACAGAGTGGGGTGATTCCAAGAACAAGCCACAGATGCCAAGAGGCCCATGGAGGGAATGGGGTTCAACCACTTTCCACCCCACCATGACCTGTCTCCCAGGCTGATCTTGCGGGATAAACTCTTTAACTAACAGGGTGCAGCAGACCCAGGCTGCTGTCCGATTGCTCCCCGATGGCTACTGACCTTGCTGGTAGAGCCAGGAAATCAGGCTCCCCAGGGAAGGGTGCCTACAGAAGCAGACAAAGAATAACCTTAGGCCTGTCAAAAATCAGAGCGAGAAACCCAATACTCAGTAAGGTCTTCTATGAAGATCATTCTTGTCAAGCACAACTAGAAAGCGACCTCTGTAGGAGGTCACTGCATCCAGAAGCTGCAGAGAAGTGGTAACAATGCCCTGGTATAGTGATAGGTACACCAGGACTTGCTCATTTTACAAGACTGAGATAAAAAATTCAAGAACTCCCACTTGGAAGTATGAAAATATATTAGGACTATAGCTAGTGAACCTGACCTCCTAAGTCATGATACTAAGTACCTGGTAAAATGGAGATGTGAAGGTATTTACTGAGAATCTATTAGGCTCCTGGGTACCAGGGACAATGCGGCCAGTTGCTTATTTGGGGACATAGGTCAGAACTCCATGTACCCCACAACCTGACCATTTCATGCTCACTTTATAACAAAATCATTTGATCCTCTTAATACTTCACTTCCTTTCCAGTAAAACTTAAGAGGTGACTATACCCACTCTCTTTACTTTCTCAACTCTAGTTCTTGTGAAATCAAAGCTCCCTGTTCTTTCTTAAACCTTCTAGACACGACCTTGACTGCAACCCTCTTTAGTCAGTTTTTATTGCCCTGATTATTTTACTTCACTCAAGGGCTTAAGTCTGAACTCTAGATTCAAATGGTAAAAGCAGAAATGCAGAATGGGCAAGCCCACTATATCTGGATTCCCACCTGCAGAAAGGCAATGTGGGAAGGTAATGGTGTTGTGGCGATAAAAACAGTTAAGTGCACATGCCTGTGTCAAGACACACTGAGTAAGAGGGGACAGGGAAGAGGAGCCTGGGAGGAGTCACCCTTGCTTTGGGTATTTTCTTCCACACAGAAGAGCCATTATACCTAACCCTCCAGGTGCTTATCTGGTAGGTTGCTTTGCAAGGAGAAACTGAGTAGGCACACCCACCCTTTTTTCTGGGGTTCCTACACCCCAGAGTCTTACAGGTCCTGAACTTCCAGGGTAGGATGTGTGACCCCGGGGTGTCAGCTCAGAAACCCACTCACCTGAAGACCTAGGCCACGCTTTTCCAGTGATACAGGTAACATTTTGGCACTCATCTGCTTTATCACACTTATCTTCCTCTTAAAGTCAGAAGCCAGGTTCGGAAAGGCAATCCCAGCCCTGAGAAGTGTGCTCAGGACGCAGTGGCTCAAGATGGGACATTCTGGTATGTTGGTCTTACCAATTTCACTGCTCTACCACCCTGCCCTCCTGGGCCTTCAAGACACTCTTCTCACAAGGTTTCCCCACTTCCTGGGAGCACCTACTCCATCCTTTGGCTGGTCCTCTCACACCAAGCTCCAATACGCCTTATACAGCTCCATCCAAAGTCTTCACTTTCCAGCTCACCACTTTCATGACTCATTAAGGTCTCAACCCTCCCCTGAAGCTATTTCACAGGCTGAGTCCAAATGCTCAAACCCTCCTGTCTACATCAGGTCAATCCCTGACTCAGGAGTCCTCTTACATCGATGTTAAGTTTTAACTTCAGATACACAAATGAGTAACTCAGTCAAGGATAGCCTCAGCATTGTAAGAGGCAAAAACTACTCGTCTATCTGAAATTCAAGTTTAACAGAGACGTCCCAACAGTTGCTAAATCCCATAACCCCGTTTTTGTCCCTCCCTTCCTTCATGCTCATGGTGAACAGTCCAGAACATACTCTTCCAGCATCCTCATCTCTCATTTGGACCACAATGTCACTGATAAACTCCTCTCCACCCTGAAGACCCCTCCATGGCCAGAGACCACCCCCATATACACCCATCACCAGCTCAACCACACAGCACAGCAGGGTACCACCTCTCATGCAGCCTACAATTGGCCTTGATCTCCGGCCCCTCAGCCATGAACCTTCCTTTCTCACACAGCCTAGGTTCACCTCCAGAAGCCACCCCTGACACCCCACCAAGACAGGCTTCCATATCACCCTGCCCTTCCCCCAGCCCATCCTTGTCCCCTTCTCCTCCTCCCTCCCCTGACAGGGACAGTGAACTTTACTGTTACATAAACTATTTTATTTTAAATAAAATTAGAGGCAGACCCTTTCCCACACACACACTGGCACATGCATGCACGCTTTCTTCCCTCTACCTCTGGCCACCTCAAACCCAGAGGTTCTCATTGTGACCACCCTGCCCACACCCCAAGACAAGGAAACACCCTCATGAGAAGGCCCATGCCTCTCCCAGTCGGGTGGCAGCGACACTCAGGCTAGGAAGGAGCTCTTCTGCCAGAGTCCAGCTCTCAGCCTGACTGGGGTAGAACAGAAGGATATGTCCAACAGAGGTATCCCGGTCCAATGTGACTTCCCACCTGGGGGGCAGCGCCACCAGATACCTGGAGCTGTTCTCTGTGGAAGGCAGTTCCCCTCAGCCTAACCAACACTTCCCTGCATCAGGGAAGGCTCAGACACCAAAGCTGAGCATACCCCAAGGGATCCCGGAGTAGGTATTGTTTGGTTTGGGGTACAGAGAGCAGTTGAGCACCAAATTCCCTAACTCCACCCTAAGAGAGGGAGCTGCGATTCAACTCAGCATCCTCTACCCAGAAAAAAGGTAAACCTAATTCCATACAGGAATGGAGGAGACTTTAACCAGGAGGATTCATTTCATCTCCACCCAAAGTGAAACCAGTTAGAGACCGACTAGCACCTTGGCACACACTACCCACATGGGAGCTTGCTCAGAGTGGGTAGCCTCCCCTATGTTGACGCTAGGGTTGGGTTTCAACTACCCTGACGCCAGCACCCTTCAAGTCCTGCTCTGGGGCACACAAAGGAGAGTGGCTTAGATCATGAGGAGTAAGCGCTGAAAAGTACAGGAGGAGCAGTGTCTTCCAGAGGCACACAACCCACAGAGAGCCTTACAGGTTACACGCAGGATAGCTAGGACACACGACAGGGGAACAGGGTGCCAGGAGGGCTTAGCAGCATCCATAGCAGCCCCTCAGGAACCAAGAGGTGAGATGGGAGGGGACTATGAGAAGGATGGTCAGGCTGAGGCTGAGATGCAGGGACTCAGGCTGAGCACCCACCTTCTCCAAAGGTCTCCCTGTGGCTTCTGAACCAAGTTCCCTGAGGGGGGGAAGTCAGATAGATCAAAGGATAAAAACCAGAGAAAGGACAGCAAAGGGTATCAGACAGACTATGCAGAGCCAGCAGGAGAAGCAAAGATGTGAGTCAGAAGACCTCTGAAGGGGTGCGATGTGACCTCTCTGAGGGAAACAAAGACCTGAGGAGTGGGAGCCTAGCATCTGCACCGCCCTACAAGAGCCAGTGGAGGTAAGACAAACCAGCATCCCGAATCATAGGGCTACAGGCTAACACTGCGCTGGTGGCGGCCTCCACGGCCCCCACTGTCACTACCCCGGCGGCCCCCGATCTGGGAACCAAGCTCCTGGCCGTCCAGACTGGCGTGGTCAGAGAGGCCCCGCAGATGCTCCACTGAGTCGCACTTCTGCAAGTCCGAGGCCACAGTGCGCAGGCTCAGTAGGCTCAGTGTGTCCGTGTCAGGTGCTGGACCTGGTCCCAGGCTACTCCCTTCCTCCAGCACCCCACCCTCAGCTCCCTCGATGATGCCACTATCCCCATCCTCGCCTCCATCAGGCCCGGCCTCAGCCCCTACTGGGGAAGAGCGCCGCTGGCCCAGGGGGTGAGGGGGAAGGCCCCTGCGCCGGGCATGAATCTGTTCGCTGATCTGCTCCAGGTTGCGCAGCGCGACGGAGTAGCGAGTCTTGGCTTGGGCGACTTGTTGCTCCAACTCCGTCACCTTGGCCTTGTGCTCCTGCAGAGGGAGGGTCAGAGTGAACCCTGGGGCAACTCTCCACAGGGCCTGGAGTTGAAGAGGCCGGTCAGACGCACTCAGCATACTCCACTGCAGCCTCCTCTCCCGTGCATGGGCCCTGTGCATCACCCACAAGCCTGCAGTGCTCCACCAACTCCAACCCTCCCAGCTGCTGCTGCTGCTCCTCCTCCGGCACCCGCATCCAATTCCTGACCCGAGCCCCACTGCCCTCCTAGACCTTCATTCCCAATCACTTCACCTCTCCCCACTGTCTCCTTACCCATCCAGGGTATTCCTCTTCCCCACTCTCCTTGGCTTCCCCCCCATCCTCATTTTCTCTAGTTTTACCTCCTCTCAACTCCATCCTCTGCCAGGACCCGCCCCCCCCCCCCGCCCCACCTCCCATTGCTGCAGGACATTCTGAACACATGTGCTACCACCTGTCCCAGTGATCTGGAGGATGGCCCAGAGAGGCAGCAGAGTCCCCTCTAGTTGGATGCCTCATTTTCCGCGCCAGGCCCTCCCCACCCGCCCCTCTACCTGGCCTCCCCTCTTCCAGTCAGCTACCTCCAGGATTTGGCTGAATTGGGCCTTGAGCTCAAAGTAGGGCCGGCTCTTGCCAATGGCCCGCCGAAGGGTCTTCTGCAGGGATTGGACCCGAGCTTCAGCCTGTTGGCACAACCGTGTCACCCGCTGGTGCTCCCGCTCGCCACGAAGCCGCTCCTCCTCCGCCTCGTTCACCTGGCCCAGTAGAGGCGAGGACAGATATCACTGAGCTGGGACCCACAGCTCTTGCCCATCATCTGCCCCAGGCTGCCACTCCAAATATTACCCTGGAGTGATCCTGTCTATACAGCCTGGAGAGAACTCTGATCTCCCAAGACACAATTAGCAGGTCCCTGCACCTGCTTGACATTACCTGCACCAGTTCTGGTGCTACGAAGAGAGGGCACTCTCCTCTTTGGACTGCTCGCACCTGAGTCAGCAGTGTCTGTGAGCTCACCTACCATAGCCATAGTTCTCAGGGCCCTCAGAGTCGGGGGCTGGGACTGGAGGGATGGGAAGAGTCCCAGCATGGGAAGTCATAGTTCTGCACTGGGGTCTCTAGGTTGCTGTGCCTAAGCAGGGAGCTCCAGAGGGCTCCAGATACCTTGCGTACCATGATCAGGCAGCTGAGCTCTCCATACTCTGCGCAGGCACAGACCAGAGCCTTGTCACAGTCAGTTACACACAGCTCAACAACCACTCCTTTCTGTGAGCTCCGTAACAGAAATGGAGCTACTGCTGTGTGAGACTGTGGGCCTGGATGAAGGAGCACAAAGAGAACCTCCAGACATGAGCAGCTCTTAGGAGCTGGCACCTGCAGCTATAGACTAAATGTCTGTATTGCCACAAAACTCTCAGGTTGAAATCCTAACCCGTCAGGTAAAGCTACTTACTGGAGGTGAGCCCTCTGAGACTGGTAGCTGGGGGGCTCTCATGAATGGGATTAGCTTCTGTATAAAGGAGGCCCATGAGAACTCCTGTGTCCTCTGTCACGTGAGAACACAGTGAGAAGACATCAGGAAGTGGGCCCTCACCTGACACCAAATGTGCCTGTGCTGTAATGCTGGACTTCCTAGCCTCTGGAACTATGAAAAATAAATGTTTGTTGTTTAAGCCACCAGTCTGTTATTATTTTTATAACAGCCCAAATGGACCAAGACAGTGCCCTTTAGAAGACAAAAATGGCAGACTGGAATTGATGCCAGGGATCTTCCTGCTCCTAGTCCCCTTTGAGTAGCTTAGAAATAGCACACAGATTATTCTTCCAGAATAATACAGATTATTCAAAAATCCAGATTACTTTAGCAGACCTCAATAGCAAGGAAGCACATTTGGAAAACAGAAGTGAGGGATCATAGATAAAAACAGTAAAATGTGGGAGCTGAAACCAGAGCACCCAGCAGGGATGAACCCATCCAGTGGATTTATCACACATCTGGAGTCAAAGGTTCAAGAAGAGCCTAGAAAGTCATTTTAGGTCAAAAGGAAATAAATATGCAGAAAGCACTAAAGGTCACACAGGAGGGAGCAAGGAGGAGGTTTTACCTAAAAGAGAAGCAAAGTTGAAGAAAGGCCAAAGAGAGTTAGGAGTGAAGAGGATTATGGGATGAAGAGATAGCAGAGCATGTGCTGACACCAGCAGAAGGAACCTGTTGGCACTGTCTGGCTCACCTTGCAGGTGGCATGGTTGAGCATCTCCTGCCAAGTGGGGTCCAGCCGGTTCTTGTCCGCCATGACGCCCTGCTCGGCCACAAACACCATCTCCCGGGCAGCATTGTGCATGCTCACAGCCCGTTCGTACCGCAGTGCTGCCTTCTGTGTCTCCTGCTGGGCCTGGAGGAGGAAGGCCATCAGGACAGAGGCCCTAATTGACCCCCAGCCACCCCTGGTGACCCATCCTGGGCAAGGACAAGAGAAGGAAGAAGACCCATTGCAAAGTTGGCTTCCCCTGCCAACATATAACAAGGATAAATGTTAAGGAAGCAACATTCTATAAAGAATAGTTTGTATAGATATGGAAGAAAAGAGATAAATACAGGAATAAAGATTGAAAAGAATGATACTTTCAGTGGAGAGTGTGCATGTGAAATTCAACACTCTCAAAGGCTGTTGAATTTCTGCACTAGGGAGAACAAACAAAAATTCACAGCACTTTAGCTGGAAGGTGGTTACTGACATGGACAGAAAGTATACTTGTGAGACTCGCACCTCCAGTAGAGGAAAAGCTGAAGATAATAATAATCAAAGAGCTCAAACATACTCATCACAATCATGTTTATCAAACAAAACTGAAACAAACCTGAGTTTTCAGTTAGAAAGAATTGGTTAAATGAATAATAGTTATCTAATATGAGGAAACGTTAAGCAATCCTTAAAACTGATGACATGAGCATTTATTGACATGGAACCGTGTCATAATACTAAGTAAAATAAATGAATGAAAATAGCACACACTGTATAATCTCATCTTGTTAGGAAATATATCCTCCAAAACGTTAAGAGGTTATCGATGCCATATTAATTATATCTTTTTCATACTTTGTGATCTTTCATGGTTTGACATCTTGGAAGCCTTGCTGCACCTCCCAGAGCTACTAATTCCAAGAGACGGTAAAATGAGAACATCTTTCATTTGCAAACCAGCCAATCTAAAACCTCCTTTATCTAACTCTCACACATCAAGTCAGTATTTCCCCTCCCCTAAATCATACCAGGGATAGGTACCAGAAAATTAGAGATCGCTCACCACAGTTACTCAAACTATCCAAACTCAAACTTGCTCAAATCCTAAGCCTACCCTGCCTGACCCATTCCTTTCCATGAAAACCACAATAAAGGTTATGAGCCAAGCTTTCCCCTCTTGTCCTCTGCTTTCTGACTGATCCAGGGACTTCCCCACAGGGAGTGGCCTGCCCCTTCCTCTTGGAGACTGTAAGTAATAAATTCTTTTCTCAAGGCATAGTCGCTGCCTCTGGCATCTTACCATACTTGACTACAAATCCTAGGTACAGAAACCATGAAGCAGGCATGTGGTAGTTTGGAGAGATCTTGGCTTTCTTCTTTTAATCTTGTTTTACAGTTACAGTTACAGTCTTTCAATAGTGAGTTCACATTATTTGTTAAAAGAAAAAAGGGAAGAAGGTGGGTAAAGGGATAAGCAAAAAAAAAAAAAAAAAAAAAAACGGGGCATAAGAACCAAAGGAAAGAGAGAAGAAATGAGAAAGGGCGTTCTGTCTGACACTCCACAGATACAGAAGCGTCCAGGGCCGGGCTCTGTATGCAGCCTTCCTGGGACATGGGCCAGCAGGCCATACCTCCTTAGCCAGTCGCCGAGCCTCATAGTAGGGCCGGGCCTTCTCAATGCAGCTCCCCAACTGGGAGCCCTGTGTGTTAAGCTTCCTTGCCGACTCCTGCAGGATCCTCCGATAAGTGGTTCTGGCCTCCTAGCAAAGGGATAGAAATGTGGGCAGAAGAAAGGCAAGTGTGTGGGGCCCAGCCCCTCATTTCTCACACACATCCCTCCCCCACCATTGTACAGAATGGGGAGGGAAAGAGAAACACCTTGGGACCAGCCCAAGGGCGTGAAGAAAAGGAGAAACTCACATCCAGCTGCAACTCCACCTGGTTGATCTCCTCGCTGGCCTGGTTGAGATGCTCCAGTTCCTCCTGCACAGAGAGTGGCAGAGGGTTAGAGAAGTCCCAGGAAACAGCCTCAGTTACCTGGCTGGGATGGGAGCACAGTGCTCAGAGGGAAAGCCTACCCAGCCAGGGAAGGGAGGGACAACACTATTGGAGGATGGCACTATTGAATGCCCCCTTGGTGGAGACTTTCCCACTACCCTCGCAAGTCCACCTGTGTATCAGATAGTAAAATCCCACTTTATAAATGAGGAATTCAAGGTTCAGAGAAAGGAATGTTCATATGCACACATCTCCATGAGACCATTCCACATCCTCATTATACGCCAGTCAGGAATCTCCATTCCAGAGAAAGGACAATGCCCTGGGCTACTTACTGAGCACACTTAGCACAACTCAGCACCACCAGACCACAGAATTCAGAACACAAAGCAGTAGCAGCTCGTGGCCAAGTAAGCAACAGCCCCTCAGTGATATGAGGAGCCAGATGAGGGATGGTCATGCTGGGAGGCAGCAAGATTACCTCCTTGGGTGGTAGGTCAGGGCAGGATACCAGAGCACCTGCTCCCAGGCCACAGAATCAAAAGGGCAGGTATTGGGGCCAACAGGTTGTCAAATGACAAGTCAGTAAGGCTGGGCACAGGGGAGGGGAAACCAGGACTTCCTGATGGCAGGGAACTCCCTCAGAGCCTGGCGCCATTTGGTCTGGTTTAGAAAGACAGATCTGAGCAATGTGGGGAATGCCTGGAGGGGCCTAGGAAACAACATCCAAAGTGTTGATGAGGTCTGCCCTTCAAGTATTCAAGGTGAGAGAGAAAAAGGAAGATCCCAAGGAAATGTAGAATACAGAATCACAAGGGTCTAGGGAACAAGGCCTCTAGGCCTACCTGGCCAGTAAGGTGACTGCAAACCCAGGTCCTCTGGGAAGATCCTCCTCAGGGAAAAGTTACTGGTTTGAGCACTTCATTGGCTGGAGGAGTGAAAAAAGTAGTAACAAAGCCACCAAGATCTTCCTTCTGGGCCTTTCAGCAACATGACAGAGCATTGGGAGGGGTGGTGGTCTCAAGTATCCTCCTTTCCTCTTTTTTGGTCAAATTCCAAGACCCAAACAATACTCTCTAAGAGGAGCAATATCCAGAAAGATGCCTGTTATCTGCCTATAGCCAGGCCAACATGAGCCAGCCTGACATTTGCCTGTTGCCCATGGCCCAGATTTGATATGCACTTCGCAGTGAATGGCACTGCCATCGCTTATTTTGTCCTTCCAACAACCCTATGTTTCATGCCTTTTTATTCCACTGATGTCTCCTCCTCGAGCCCTGTAAAATTTGAATGAGCAAGTAAGACTGTACAAAACCAAGAAACATACCCTAGTCACAGTAAAAAGAACACAAACATCTAACAGAACTAGGAACAAGGATATGAACCGCAGATTTGGTACCTAATTTTCAAGAACAGAAGTGTCCAACAGAAAAAAATAACAGGAGCCTCATATGGAATTTTCAGTTTTCTAGCAGTCACATTTAATTAAAAGGAAAACCGAGTAAGTAAAAATTATAACAATGCCTTTAACTGCACCCTTGAAATCCCTGTGCATTTGACACTTTAGGCACATCTCAACTTGACCACTGGCACATGGTGCCCATCAAGGACAGAGCTGAGCCATATCAAGGACTGGAGCTTAAGCATCTGGATAATACTAAGGACATCCCTGGATAGACACCACAGAGAAAACTGAACTACCATCATCTAGAAGGGGCAAGGAAAGGCCTCAGAGATGCAATAAAAAATGGTTTGGGGAGAGAAAAGGAGGCGGGTAATAGTCCCTCTATGATGTTTCCAATAAGTATCAAGATGGACTGGATCCTACTTGGTTCCACATCCCAAAGGGCTCCCTGATCCTGACAAGATTATCAGAGTGAATGGTTCTACATAAGTCATCCCCATTGGAAAAAGGACATGAAATGCTCTGGTTATTGACCAAAGGCAGGAGCAGGCATGTCATACCCACAGAGCTCATACCCACAGAGCCCCTCCAGCAATTAAAAGTCTTCTGTTGATAAGGTCTGCTTCAAGAGTCACAAAGCTTTCTAACAGGACAAGGAGACTGGGGAGCAGGGCAGATTGGAGGGCAAGATAGGCAAGGAAGAACAGCCAGACCAGGGCATACCCAGGGAAAGGATAAGCAGGAAGCAGTTGGCAACACATTCCATTTGGCCTGCTCTACCAGGGACTCCTGGCACCTGCTTGAAACAGAATTCGAGGAGAATGGAGTCTAAGTCAGTACACATCATCTGTCAGTGAGCAGGCAGCCAGCAGGGAAGATGACCTTCCCAGAGCATGCCAGGCACATTCCCTTGATGCCAGGCTATTGAGCCACAGGCATAGACACTCAGGCTGCAGACATCCCCACCCCTCAGAAAGGATCTCATACAGGCCATTTTTAAACACTCAAGTCTGGTCAGTTGGCAAAGATTGGGTAATGTCTAGCCCAAGGACTCAGAAAAAGCTGTCCTAGGGGAGCTAAACCAACACTTCCTGATGAGGACACAGAATTTACCCAGGAAGTCTGAGAAGGTGAATAAGAAGACATCTGAGAAAACACACCATTACAAAGAGAGCCTAGAAGACATAAGGTATAAAGTCAAAGTCAGGCATGACTAGTGCCACCCGCCATCCCTCCCCTGGGATTGGGACTCTCTGGCTCTCTGAAAGCCAAGGAGCAGGCTGGAATCCTCAGAGAACTATGCTAAGATCAAGACATGGAGACAGTTTAGAGGCCTTTTCTGGGGGACAGCATACTCTAGGTAGGCCTAGAGCTCCCTTCCAGAAAAAGGGGACACAAGTTACCCATTCATCAAAAAACCTCATCTCCCAGATCAGAAAGTTTCACCCACAGGCAAGCATTTCTAGGAGTTCTAGGAAATACTTAAACAGAATCTCTGCCTTTGGATATCCTTGGTCTGGCAGATTCACCCAAGCCACATGTGACTTTTTGCCTCACCCAATAAAAGAATCCGCATGCCAGAACATGGCTTAAGAACAAGTATTTTCAGGGCATCCCTGGTGGCGCAGCGGTGGAGCGCTGGGCTGTAAGCTGCCTGCAGCCTCTGCAGCACTGGTTCAATCCCCGGCCAGCTGGCGAGAGTCCCACATGGCGCGCAGACCTCTCCTGCCATGCCCGCTGCTCCCCTCAACAGTGTATTTTGTCAGTCTGCCTGTTCTGCTCCCTGCCCTAGCTCTGGTGAATTCTCTCACCCTCCCACGCTTCTGACTGTACCCAGTGCCCAGTGCATGTATAAATAAATAAATAAATCCTTTTTTTTTTAAAAAAGAAGTATTTTCAAAAATCTCTGGTAGGTCCAGATGGATCAGTGGATGTAAACACAAGGAAAGCAATGAAATCCAGAAAAATCGATGTCCCTTTAAAGCTCTGAAATGTATTATCAAGGCACATGGTCTTGTGCACTGTCAACACTAAAGGGGACTGCACAAGACACACACCTCAATCTCCTCATACAGAAGAGTCCCAATACAGAGGGGCTGAACGTCACAAGCACCCTCCATGAAAGTTGCCTGTCCTGAAGAAAACAATGAATCCCTCACAAAGCAGGAGTACTGGTCTAGCCTCAGTGTGTCATCAGTGAGGTAGACCTCTCTATAGGAGTTTTCTTCCCTACACAACCACAATATTCCACAACATGCCCTTAAATTTAGTTAAGAGAGACTGGGGTCTGCCTGCTCCTCTTGCTTCAGTTACACTTGGAAGCTTACCATAGACAAGATGAATCTTATGCCTATTCAGTACTCTTCCACCCTCACAGAGCTCATCTGATAGAACAGTCTATAATGACAGAAAATTCTACTTCTGCACTGCTAACAGCACGTGAAGAACTGCATCTTTCAATTTCTGCAGTTTTAAGTAATAATAAGTGGCTTGTGGCTACTTTACAGGAAAGCACAGCATAAGAGTGATTCGTCATACTACTGCCTTCGCCTGAATGGGTACTGGCAAAATACCAGGGAGCAGAGGGACTGAGGAAAGAAACCCAAGTGGATTCCCTCTGGAGGAAGTTGCAGAAAGGTGTATTAAGTGCATCAAATGGCCCTCCCTCCAGAGGGAGGGAGGGGTCGTTTCCCAAAGAGCTACCTATAAACTTTCATAGAGATAAGCAGGGCTTCTGGTGGCACAAGGGGTTAAGACCCCACCTATGGGGCCTCCCCGGTGGCGCAGCAGTTGAGTGCTGGGTTGCGAAGCTGCCCGCGGCCTCTGCGGCGCCGGTTCGATCCCCGGCTGCTCCCTGGCCACCGGAGGAGGGTCCCACATGGCACGCAGACCTCTCCTGCTGCGCCTGTTGCTCCCCTCAGCAGTGTACTTCATTACTCTGCCTGTTCTGTTCCCCGCTCTTACTCTGGTGAATTCTCTCACCCTCCCGCGCTTCTGACTGTACCCAGTGCATGTATAAACAAACAAACAAATAAATAAAACATGCCTCTATTAAAAAAAAAAAAAGAAAAAAAAAAGACACAACCTATGAAGCTATCCGCAGCCACTGCAGCACGAGTTCAACCTCAGGCCAGGGAGCTACCCACATGGGGCAGGAGACCTCACCTGACTTGCCACTCTTCCCCTCAGCAGTGTGTTTCAGTCACTCTGCCTGTTCTGTTCCCCACTCTGACTCAGGTGAATCCTATCACCCTCCCTCCCCCACCTCTGGCCTGTACCCCAGCTCTTGTATGCATAAATGAATAAATCTTTTTAAAAAAAGATAAGCAAAAGACTTTGTGAAAGCACAGAATCTAAGGAATCTAAGGACTGTTGTCAGAGCAGGTAAGGAATTGTGCAAGTCAGTGAGACAAGCCCTCATTTTACGGATGAAGAAACTAGAGACTCAGGAAGGTTATGTGACTTCCTTGAAAATCACAGATCACTCCTTCTGCCCAAGGCTTTTTGCATTACAACCTGTTTCCTCAAAGGACAAGTTTGTAAATTAACAGGAGAACTGTTTTCAATGTGATGCCCAGGAGACAGAGACCCACACCAGTGAAGTAATGATTGCCACTGCTCCATTGTAAGCCTATAAGCAGGACACAATTGTCCGCCTCCCACTCCCTACCCACATCCAGGGGATACTCACCACAAGAGGGCAGGAAAGATGTGAGGACCAGCTCTGACTTTTTTTTCCTTACTCAATGAATAAACCTAATAAAGGCTTGTTGACAAAGAAGCCTAGGAATGTGAGTCCTAGGACGCTCTTGCTCACCTACAGTGGAGTGAGTCACCACCACCACATCAGAATTTTGGAGATGATGCCACACCAAATGACAGACTCAGATCCCAAACACACAGGAGCACCTTGGCCTTCACCTGCCCAAGCAGCCTCCGCTGGGAGCCCTTCCCAGCTAGTGCCTGGAAACACTACAATCTAGCCTTGGCTGGCCATGCATCTCCTAATGGTGCCATCCTCCCCCACTATTATGAAGTCTCCTTGAAAAAGATCTACCTGTCCTACCAATTAGCCTGTACATGCGCCAAGGTGATAAATCAGCTCTTCTGTTCATTCAATGGGCCCACGGTCCTCAGATCTGAGCACAACAGACACAATTTCCTGAATACATTGGGATTTCCTTACAGGACTAAACCTGATGCCACCTTTATAAAACATGAAAGACCTCACCTTTTACAGATGTTAACATACCTGGCAGGCACCGGCGAGAAGATGAGAGAGGGGAAAAATTCAAGGTTCCTGCCCAATCTCAAAGGGACTTCCACTCACATCTCATTCATGTCACATCTGAGCCAACAGTCCCTTTGCTTATCTGGAAAGAAGAACAGCCCTACTCTCTAACTTAAAGTATGCTCCTATATCTGCTGCCAATTTGCCACTTCACTTTTTCAGGGAAGCCTTCAGCAACACACCCCAGGCATTCAGGCTAGGCCGCCTCTGTGCTCCTAACACATAACCCTTTCAGCACTTGTCATGCTGCATTGCAACGATTCATTGATAAACTAATTTTCCTTTCTTGTCCCAGTGCACTGGGAAGAAATAAATCTAACTCATTCACCTGACAGTTCTTCAGGAAAGCTGGAACCTGCCTCCCTGTCTCTTTGTAATCTATTATCTCACCTGTATTCTAGGATCCAGTTCTTCCTCCTCTCTTGGAGACAATTTGGCCTCACTGCTGTTGTTTCCACCTCCTCTGGGCTCCTCTGCAACTGGACTCTGAGGGACTTCATCCTCAACAACTTCAGGCTGGAGCTCCCCCTGCGGGGTCTCCCGCCCCCCTGGAACCTGCCTGAGCTCAGCCATGCTGACAGGGAGAGGGGACACACTATGCACAAGACAGCACTGACATGCTGGGACCAGGGCCCCAGCCTGGGGTTTCCCCAGCTCTGGGTGACAAGGGTTTCTCTTACAGGGTGGGATAAGCGGGTACAGGTAGAACCTCACACTCTGCTAGAGGCCAAGATTCAAGGCGTCAGTGTGGTTCCTAGAACTATAGCCTTGTCTGCGCAAAAGTTCTTCCCTCCCTGTCACAGGAAGTCCACTGGGGCAGACGCAGATAAACCACTTCGAGGCAGGGGGGATAAGGGGGTCTGGATCCTGGGCCGTAGCCTGCGAGGAGGAGCACCATTCGGGAAGGCGGAGGCAGGCGCCTCCAGGCTGTGGCAGCAGCTGGAGAGAGAAGCTGGGCCCAAGCCGAGGCCGCGGGATGACAGTCTCTGGGGAACTGCAGAGAAAACAAAGGCTAAGTACTCGGTCAGCATCAGAACGTCGGTCACCAGTGCCTTCTGACACTTTAGCTCCCCAAGGGCTACAAGCTCTTCTTTCCACATCCCCCATAATCCCACCCCAACTTTCCTCAGCCCTCAAGGACTTGAGGTCCTACTCTTCCCGTGTCCCAGCGACCCTCGCCCCAGTCCCATCCTTACCAAGGCCTTCCACACTAAGCGCTCTCACCCGCTCCTCCATCCCTAAGCACCCTCCCCTCCCGCCTCCCAGTCCACCCCCGCCAGGCTTTGCAATTCACCTCGCAGGCCCCCACCCCATGCCACCTCCCCGTCTCTCCAACTACGCGCTCAAGCGGAGCCTCCCGTCTCCAACTTCACATTCTCCTTCAACCCGAAGGACTGTGCCCCGAGACAGCCCACACAGCCAAGCGGCGAAGCCCCTCGCGCTGTCTTACCTCAGTTTACCTTACGTGAGCAGCCGCCCCTACCGCAAACAAGCTTCCCCTCCTCCCCGCAACAAGCCGGTCCAACCAAACACGACGAGGCCGAGAGGAAGCGGAAACACATCATCCGGCAGCCCCGCCCTCCTGCGCTCTTTCGAGGCGCCGGCCAGACCGACTTCCCAAGATTCCTCCCGTCCTGCCTTCCTTTTCCGTACAAAATGGCGCCTCGCACGGCTCTGGCTCCCCTTGCGCTCATATCTGCCCCCATTGTCCACCGCGACTGAAGGGAAACGGAACAAGAGCATGCTATGATGACAAAACTAGGAGGCTCGATGAAATTTGAGGCCGTCTCATCGGCAAGGAAGTGCTAAAATAAAGTGAAGAGTGGCTACTTTCCTCGGGGAGAAATTTGCCATCTTGCCTTACGGCTCCGGGGCTCTGGGGGCGGGACAGCGCGGCCGGCCGCGCCCGGGAAGGTGGAAGGGGCGCCGGAAGTGCACCTGGGGTGGCCGGCGGCTGTGTCGGCTTCACCCGATTTCGGGGAGGAGTGGCCTGCGTGGCTGAGTTGTAAGGTGATTTTCCAGAAGTGGGTGCCCTCCCTTCTGGTGACCTCAGTGATACCCTTAAGTAACGGCGTCTACGTGGACGGCTCCGCCTTCACCGCGGGCTCGGAGCTGCGCCTCCCAGCTCTTTCGGGAAGGCCCCGGTATGGAACGCCGTTGCTGTGGGGTCGCCCGTTACCTGGTGAGCATTCATTAGACACTCAGTGCCCCTGAGCCTCCAAAGGGGAGCCGTGTGTTACATGCCCTGTGTATCAGTGAAAAGGCCTTGCCAGAGTGATCTGACTTCTAGGCGTCACCAGGCGAGGCCAGAGGGAAAGGATTCAAGAGGACATCTTATTTTTGCATAAGGTCTGATGTTTCCAGAGCCAGCTCAGGGTTTCACCTTAGGTAGAGAAAGCAATGGTCCGAATTTCCCTTCCTTTTGGATTCCCCTCCCTTTATCATCTCATCCCATGAGTAACCACAGAGAAGAAGAAGAAAAAAAAAAAAATCAGTACAGCCAAATATGTTACTTTAAAAGTAATTTCAAAGAGATTATCCTAAAACATCAGAAATTTTGCGTTTAAAATGCCTTTTCTCCATTGAGTCAGCGGGACCCTGAATAGCAGTGTCTCAGATGGATAGACCTGATGGATAGTAGTGCCTCAGTCTCTGTCATTTTCCTTTTTTGTAACTAAGGTGTAATACATAAACCATTCCATATAGAAATCAAAGACAGTTTATGGGTATGTTCTTTACCGGTTACTTTAATTTTGTAAAACTGGATTTTAACTAGACCCCATTTTACCTACCATTTTATTCTCCCAACTTTTCCTGTTCATTACTTCTATCTAATTGTCTTTATAGTTTGCCTCACAGCTCATTTTCCCTGCACATTCAGTCATTAGCAATCATGAGCTGCTTTTTTCCTAGTTCTTTATTGCATTTGATGGGAAAACATGAACACATGTAATGTCCACACTGCCCTTAGATCACAGTCAGAGGTTCAGTAGCCTCCCTGATAACGCCATTCATTTCTCCCAAGATTAACTCTCATTCACTGAGACTGAAGATGACCCTTTGTGTTTGGATTGTAATACAGTACCCAGCAGTTTTGCTCCTAGATTTGGATAATGTTTCCATAGGATGTGATTAGGGTGCTCTGTCTTGTTTTATTGAGGTCAGCCTAGACATGATGATTTAAAATTTTTCTAAAGCAGCACTGTCCAGTAGATCTTTTGGCAATGATGAAAATGTTCTATATTCTGTAGTATGGTAGCAACTAGCCACATGTACTAATTGAGCACTTGAAATTGCATTTTTAAATTTTATTCTAATTTAAATAGCTACATGTGGCTAGTGATTCCATTATTGGATGGCACAGTCCTAGAGCATGACTTTCTTACATAATGTCCTCTAGGTCCATATTGAACATTTATGTCTTCAGTACAAAACAGATGTCTGAATTTCTATTTTTGTTTGTCTCATCTTCACTTCCTCACCTCCCATTTACTTCCATTTCTGTCAGTCAACAGAAATTGCAGAGATAAGTCATCCTTGCTCTGAGTATCACCTAATCACTGATATCTAACACTGGGTTGTTTTTTCTTTAGCATCTGAGTCACTCTTCTCCAGGGCTTCCTCTTACTTCTCTAGCCTGTTGATCCAGATGCATTATTTCATGCAGTATCACTTAACTTAGTTTTTATTATGTGTCACGATTTTGGTGATGAGAAGGGCATCAATTTATTTCATCAGTATCTTATAGATTGTGCTGTTCATTTGATAAATCAGTACCATTCAACTAATTGGACCACAATCTTGAAAAATGTCTTACCTTGCAACCCAATATACATTTATGTGTGTAAATATATTCATAACAGAAGTTTTGGAAAAGATCTTTACTCATCATATACAAAGCATATTAATATTTTGTACTATACATTTTTTAATGCTGGTATGAACCTAGTTTATTGAATTCATGATGCACTCATATTTTGAAAACCTTTCCCTAAATGCCAGTACTTCCTAAACCATGAGGCTAGCCTCTGATCATCTCATGAAGCCTACTTTCTCTGAACCCTTGCCCCAGTACATGACCCCACCCCTACGTATGACTGCTCCTTCATGGGAACTTTGTCTTTTTCCAGACTCCCCATGATTACATTCAGAGATCCAGCAGCTTCTCAGACTGCTGGCCTATTTGAGGATTGTCTTTTACTCACTAGGTACAAATCTGATTTCATTCCCTTTTCCCAAATTCTACTTCTATATTTACTTTGTTGGTGAATGGTTTACCATCTGCCCATTAACCCTAGAGAAAAAGCTAGAAAAAAATTTAAATTAATCCTATCATATTAAGTATCTCAGAGATTCCTTCTTTCCATTTCATTGCCATTTCTTCAGCTTAGATCCTCTATATCTCCACTATAGGTAGTGTACCTCAAGGGTCTTGTAAATCAACTCTATTCAATAGAACTTTCAGTGATGATGGAAATTTCTGTATCTGCACTGTCCAAAGTGGTAGCCACTAGCCATGTGTGGAACTCTTGAGAACTTAAAATGTGCCTAGTGCAACTTAAAATGTTGCCTAGTGTGACTGAGGAACTAAATTTGTGATTGATTTTAAGATGTATCTGTGATTAATGTATTGGACAACACAGGTCACTGTGATTTCCCTGCCACAAGTGTACCCCTGCCATTCCCTGGCACAAATAACCAACCCCAGCTGACTACACTAATTAATGAAATAAAAATATCTGAAAGCCATATGGAGATATTAATAACACTACCAGTGTAGGGTAAGTGAAAAAGTATCAGGCTTTTCTGCCCTCCCACCATTAGGATTGATGATGGATTCTTGCGGTCCTGAATGCATGCCTAGTGGTGGGCACCTGGAGTAGGGTGTGGGCATGTGTAAGTGGATACACCTGTGCTGACAGACTCGGCTTATAAGGGCGGTGTCAGGGGCACGCCAGTAGAACAGAGCAGAATTAGAGAGAAAGAGCGAAAGAGAAGCAGAGGCCACCAGAGAATGCCGGAGAGCCAAGAAAGAATGAAGACTTGCTGGCACCCCTTGCCAGCCGTGTCCTGGTAAATCCCAATAAAAGCCTGAAAAGCCACCGAGGGCTCCAGGATTCCGCCTTTACCCCATCTGCTCGGGTCATAGAAATCCTGCTCTGTGTCCTCCTGTCCCTACAACCAGTTACTAGGTGGTATCACAAATCAACTATTTCTCAGTAAAATAAAATTTTCTCATAATTCATATTGATAACTTTTTAATTTCATACAAATTCCCTCTAAATTACCTAAATAAAATTACCTCTGTTTTTAAAAATTACTTATTCTGTGAATATAAATTACCTTTTTATTGTCTTTTTTTCCTACCATCAGTCAGATATTTAACAAGTAGCACCATCAATTGATAATTAAACATATTAATTGACTAATGTATAGTGACAGATCAGTGATTACATAGGGAAGAGGTGGGAGGGATTACAGAATGGTACACAGAAACTTGTGAGTAATGGATGTGTTCTCTCTCTTGCTTGTGAGGACTTTATGGGATATTATGTGTGTCTAAATTTTTCAAGTTGGACATTTCAATGTGGGAGAATTTGTATATCAATTACACCTCATAAAACTTCTATACCTCTGTAGGGTAAGTGAAAAAGTATCAGGCTTTTCCACCCTCCACCATTAGCATTAATGATGGATCCCTGTGGTCCTACATGCATGCCTGATGGTGGACACCTGGAGTAGGGTGTGAGCATACATGGGTGGGCACACCTGGGCTGAGACTGGGCTTATAAGGGTGGCATCACAGGGACGCCAGCAGAAACGAGAATAGCAGAAGCAGAAGAGAAAGAGAACGAGAAGGAGAGCAACAAAATGAACAGGAGAAGCAGAGACCACAAGAGAACTCCAGAGAGCCTAGAAAGAGTGAAGATTCTCCAGGGGCTGGGAGGCTGACTGGCCTCCCAGCTTCCCTGCACCCCTGCCTGCCATGTACCTGGTAAAAGCTCAATAAAAGCCTGAAAAGCCACTGAGGACTCCACGACTCTCCTTTACCCATCTGCCCGGATCATAAATACCCTGATCTGTGCCTTCCTGCTTCAACAAGTGACGTAGAGTGGGCAGGGTGATTTGATGCAGATGGGTATGGAGCCCTCCAAAGACCTCAAGAGGGGTTGAGGAGTAACAGACCATGAGCCTGTGACAAAGCTGGAGGCGCCATGGCAGCACAGGAGGTGGCCAAAGTCCAGGAGCTTCAAGAAAAGCTAAAGACCCTGCTGGAGCACAGGAGGTAAACAAGTCTGGGAGCTGCGGGACAAGACCTTGAGTGGAGGATGAGACAGCCTGTGAGGACCAACCCACGACTCCCGAGGCAGCAGAATCGTAGGAAAAAGAGGACCACGATTCGGAGCTCGCCCATTGTTGACGTAGGAAAAAATCTGATGGACTGATAATCCCGCCAAAAGGCGAAGGAACTTTGGCAGGTTCATGTGATGTTTTTTGGGACCCTGGAGGTGGATTGTATTATTAGTAAACCCCAGGAGATGAAAA